GTACACCTAACTCACTGTGTGCATGCAGGTAACTTGCCACTGGGTGCACAGAGTCCAGGTGGAAGAACTGTTGTCTGCCATTAAAGGTGATAAAAATTACTCTTCCCAGGATATAATAATGCTCAGAGTATGTGCCACTACTGGAGGTAGTCTTGTCTTGCTCATCTCTTAAATCATGGCACTTTCCCTCTGCTGAATTATCTTTCAAGCTGAATTATTTCACCCAGTATGTTACTTTATAGTACCAACACAAGTGCTTCACTCAGGCTATGTTTTCCTCTAAGGTAATTAATTTGGGCCAAATTAGACTTTTGGATTACTTCTTGTGCTTCATATAATTTTGCTGTATATCATATATACCATATGTTAAACTGCTTGTGTAGTTGTGACATTTTTTTTCTCTTCTGTTGCACTGTGAGTTCAGCTGTGATTGATTTATTCCAGGTCAAAGCCAACCAATCTACCAAGAAACGCATTAGCTCCTTCTAGTTAAAAAAAAACTTACAAATTTTCAGTTTGGTTTGACTCTCCAGTATTGGACATGTTATAATAATCCTAGTAATCTTATAATTTAATTTATAATAGAGATCTTTTACTAAGCCATTATCCATCTTTTCTAGTCTTCCAAAGTTCCCTGAGTGGATTGCTTTGTCATATCATGATCAAATAATCTAGGCTCTTTAGGAAGCTGGAAGACTTTTATCCAAAGTGTTTTTGCTTTTCAATGGTTTTATCAGTGATTCCTTCTAACTTCAAAAGGACACTTCATAATTCTAAAGCTCAACAGAGTTTTATCAAATAGAGCAAAACTGTTATTGCTTTGGTCTCAGTAGCAACATAAAAAAAAACCCACAAAATTCAAAGGATAGACCTATAAAAACTCATTTCCACTGACTTTCATTTTCTCTGACAATATTCTGACTCTTTTTTTACCTGATAACTACTAGCTTTTCCAAAGCTGGGTGGTGCTGAGTGCTTGAGAAATGACCTTTGATTGTAGAGCTGGGCTCTGCTCTTTCAACTGGTCGGGGAACATACTGTGTGTTAAAGCCTCTGAAATCACAGTTCTTTAGCTAAGAGAGGCTGCTTTGCAGCCTCAGGATCAGACTTGCCTGCTGTATGAGCCTGCCCGTCTCAGGTATGGCAACATTACCTGCAAATTCACCTTTCAAATAGAAGAGCTTTTTAAAAACAGATCCATCTGTTGCTGTGTTATTCTGCTGCTCTTCCTTTACATTGAAACAAAAAGAGGCTAAACCACCAATGTTCCTTTTATTGTCTGTGTTTTCTCCCCAGTTCACTTGTTGGCTGGCTTGCATATGCATTTGAAGAAATTACAGTGGTATCAGAGGAGACTTTCAGGTGCCTTGTGTCACAGGTATGTCCATGGACCAAGAATCAGAAAAAGACACTCCAGAGCATGTGAAACCTTCAGTACTCACATGTATCCAATGGATTAGTGTTCTGACATCACCATGTAAGGGTGTTGCTTGTGTAGAAGGTGAGCAGTGTTTGGAAGAAGCCCTCTCAGACCTGCTCTTTTGTAATAGCTGAAATGAGGCCAATCCAGCTGGTAAATTGAAAGTCTGGCCTCCCTGACATTGGACCCACATGCACTCCTGCCTCTCCCAACTTGAACCAAGTTGGGGAAATAATTCCAACTAATATATTCAGCCCCAGGTGCCCAGGCAAATCTTTCAAAGCTATCTTTTGTAATGTAGTTTGTCTATTTTATATAGGCTGTTCAGATTTCAAGGGCTGTCTTCTTAAACTCCTTCTGATAAATTGAATGAATTATATTTTTGTTGGCTGTCCTTTTTACCTCCATCGCTGTGTTTCCAATTTATCAACATGCTTTTGAAAAATTGTTAGGATATGTTGCACTCGTAAGCACCACAGGGAGAAAAAATATTCATTTGTTACTGCTATTGTGTTTGATTATATTATGCATATCCAAATGACTAAAAATGAAATGTCATCTTTAATTCTCCCCTTACAGTAGACAATATCACCCTTTCTTCTCTGTTTCCAAGAACAGCTTAGAAGTTAATTCTTCATTTTTATCTTAAATCAGCCACTTGGGAAGTATGGGTATGTTAGGGACAGGGCAGGAGTAACAAAATCCTCAAGATACGAGTTCTGTTTCTGCTTTTATTCGGTAATCTTGAGCAAAGTCATTTGACTTCTGCTGTCCACTTCCTCAGGTCAGGAAATAGGAAGAAGATTACCTTTCTACATGTGTCTCTAGTAAAGCACCAGAACCATGTCTTTTCTAACCACTGTGTTTAATATTCCCTCCTAGCATCTTGCAAAAAGAAAGAAGGCTGAAGTGTCAAATTATGCATGCAAGCAAAATTAAAAAGCTCTGGACAGGCAAGACTTGAAGATTTTAAAGTACTTCCAAAGGGCCTAACCCAAGCCAGGTGAAAGGGTCACAAAGCCAGTGGTGCCATTCGGTGCTGGTAAACATTGATAAAAATATCTATCCCAAACTGCCAGGAAGGGAAGTAGGTGTACTTGGGATGAGAAGCTGTAAATGGCCAGGGCTGGAGGCCTTGGGGGCTGGCCCAGCTGCACTTGTGTTGGCTCTGCACACACAGCCCCGGGGAATTGCTCTGATTAAAGAGCAGGGTTGCTTCAGAGACCTCACAGCTGGTGACAATTTGAGCTCTGAGGGCTCTTCTAAGAGCAGGGCTGAGGGGAAACAGGTGCCTTTTTGCTCTCCTGGCCTGTCTGGGGGGACTGAGCAGAAATAAGTTGAAAATTGGCACTGAGAAAAATAATTGTGCCAGGTCCAGAGTCCATGGATGCAAAGCAAGGTTTGCCCTAGAGCAAGAAGCAGAGCAGCTCTGTCAGAATGATTTTACCAGAATGGCTGAACACGTTATGGTAAGTTACTGGGAGCTGAGTATTTGCAAGGTGGGGGGGAAAGAAGCTTCCCCTTGCAGAGCACAAAGGGAAACTGAGGCAAGGGAAGGTGTGAGGCAGGGCTGGGTGCAGAGGTTGCTGTTGTGTCCCAGCTCCAAGCACTAGGGGCTTTTGTGGCCACTATTCAGTGCCTATTTCTGAGCAGGCTTGTCTGGGCCTTGCTGCTGGATTGGACCTGCTGCATTTGAGGTGGAACAGTGTGGACTTGCTGTCTGCTTTGGACCCTGGGGGCATCTTTGGGACAAGCCTGGGGGAGGTCACGTGGAGCTGCTCTCCATGCTTCTCCACTGCCTCCCAAGTACTTTGCTCCAGTAATTAATGGTTCTGACTGTTTAAAACCTGGTGCCTCGTTTGCAGTCTAAACTTGTCTAGTTACAGGCTCCAGGGACTATTCCATGTGCAGGTTCTTGGGATGGGCACTATGGGGACAGGGGTGGTGGATGCTTGAATCTTGTTCTTCCTTAGGGAAAAGGGGTTCTTTGCTTCTACAGATGTTATGCAGCTCCGCTGGGAAACTCCAGGCCCCAGAACATGGTTTGGGAGATAAAACAGCGCTGTGTTTGGATCGTTGTGCAAACAGAGGTGCAGAGGGGGTACTATTGGGTTGCAGGATCTGATGGTGGAGACTTGGGCACGTGTTAGTATGGTCCTGGAAATCAAATCCCTCTTTTCTGTCTTGGTTCAGAGCACTTGCTTGCACAGGCAGTGAGCCCCAGCAGCCCAGGTTGCCTCCTGGGCTGGGAGCAGGGGAGAATCCCATTCCACCTGAGACTCTGCAGCCTCTCTCCCTCCTTTGGAGTGCTTTACTCTGTCCCCTGCTGTTGAGGGTTTCTCCTGCAAGGGCAGCCAACAGGACTTGTGCCTCTGTCAGCAGAACTGGAGCGTGCCAGTGCTATAAACCCGAACTCGGCTGCCTGCGTGGAGAAAGAGCCCTACTGCTGGCTTCCTCCTTAGGGTACAGCTGCCCTGGAACAGCCCTATCTTTCCACACCTGCAAAATCACCTGCTTGTGGCAGGGACTAACGCTGCAGTTTGTCTCCAGTTCTGGTTGATCTTGGTGCTACGTACAAGGGGTTTACACAGTTCCCTGAGCTAACTGGTGGTGACGATGCTTCAGCATGACACCAAAACCGAACAGGCCGTATGTGCTGAAGCAGCAGTTACTTTTTAACTGGCCTTTCAGGTTGCAGTGCAAATGAGGCATCGCAGAAAAGTCCCCTGCTTGCACAACTTGTGTGGTGCGAATGTGTCAGAAGCCAAACCTGGCTTGGCTGTTCCGTGGTGTCTTCCCTGCACTGCCAAAGTGCCCCAGGGTCCCCTGGAAGTGGCTCTTGGTTAAGCAGGGAAGTGCAGGCCGCTGTTGTCATCAATATCTAAAGCACTTCAGGATTGACACTGGGTACCTCGGTGCCCTGTGTGCGTGTGCCCAACACTGCCTAGTGATGTGGGCAGCTGCTCATGAACCCAGCAGTGCTTGGAGCAGTGCTTGGAGCAGTGCTTGGAGCAGTGCTTGGAGCAGTGCTTGGAGCA